TTTGTCATGTAAAATCAAAGAATGTGTTTTAGAAACAATGGAGGTTAAGAGCAGAATATATTGAGAGAAAGAAAGCTTCTGTCTGAGAGAGACAGAAGGGGTCCTGAGCAGGTTGCCAAGGATGCTGTCTTTTTCTAGGCACTTGTATAGAGCAAGATCATGGGGCGAGATGGGTTCAAGGTAGAGGAAAACTGGAAACTCACAAAGCAGATGAGCATAAGGTGGGACATAACTATAGTTAGACAATAAGATTGATAGTTCAGGTAAAATTAATTACATTAGGGACAAATGGGGAAGCTAGTCACATAGAAAGTGGGCATTCTTAGAGACCTCCACTCTTCCCTAGGGGGTTGGAATGGGACTCCTGGCTTCCTCCGGGTAATAGGGAACTATTTAGAATATCAATCCTCAGGATATGGGTGCATTTCTTTGACATTTTGTCTTGAGAGCTAGCCCATAACAGGAGATGCCTGTCTCTCCCAGAGTTTCAAGGTATCTAGGCTTCTGCACTGGTTCCTTTGAGGACCTAGCTCTGTCTCACTGCCTATAATATTTTTAACTAACTCAGCTGTCTATAACAGTTGTATGTGTGCCCACCACATTGGCTTAGAAAACTTTTGGAATGGCTAACGTTGAAAATGGTTTTGATGTCTTCCTTATCTCTGAAAAAATATTTCTTAATACTTACGTACACCATAGCTTCCCTTGATTTCTCTTGTAAAAATTACTACTACAGCTTATTTTGATGAAAGAAGGGAGGAGGCATCTTCAGAGAGTTTAGCTTTGAGGTCAGATGGATGGTTTGATGGGAGGTGCTCCTTTAACTGGAGCACACAATGCAATGCGTGAGACTTTAGGCATTTAGGCCACCTAGCTTGAGTGTTGTAGGTTAATTAAAGTGTAGGGGTGAAGGGGTATTATGAAATGTAGCACCGCCCGTACCAAGTTATCTCAGAGCCTGATGTCACATTGGATTTAACTGAATTTTCTTAAATTCCTTGCGAATGTGAATATATAGGAATGTTTTCTGTCCATTATAAACCACCATAAATGTTGGTTAATTGCGTGATTTGGGAGAAAATTGCACAGGTATGTTCATTGCAGTCTGGTTAAATCTGCTAACATATACTGAGAAGAGAGCGGATACAAAGCCAGTCAGTGCTCTAGAGGCTTCAGTTTGTATCTATTAAAGGATAAACGCCCCCCTTTCCCCTGCTTCAACTTGAAATCATGTAAACAAGCAATAATGGCACTTCAGAAGAGGAAAATTGCAATGCTAATGCTACCCTGTGATTTCAGACAACTTAAGATATTGCCAATGTGACTGAAAACTGAGATTGATGTTCTGTTTGAAATCATCTCATTTTTTCAATACGGGGTGATGATCTTTGTTATTTTTTAGGTGCTAGTATATCATACTGTGCAGAATTCTAACACATGACATGGAGACATTGTGCCTGTCCCCAAAGACTTGATACGCGAAAGGCAAAATACTAGAAGTGGTCATAAGTTTTTGATGGTTGATTTGACTTTTGGAGGTTGTTAAGAGGAAGAATCTATGGCATTTGGGGAACCTCAGATGTTGAATGATAGCAGAAAATAAGAGAATTTGGTAACTTAAGGTCCTTTACCTTTCTAGGGATAATGTTATATATTTACCTCTGACTTTCTTTTAAATGGATGTCATAGGAAATTTTATTTTCTTTTTTTCAGTTATGGTAATGTACAGGTTGGTCTTCCCTCTTGTTGGGACTGTCACATTGCACCCCAAAATGTGACCCTACTAATTGAGAACTGCAGGAGCAAGATCTCTGACCTCTTTTTGCCTTTTCCCTAAAGCATGCTTATAAAGGAGTTTTCAGCTTAACTGCATCTGATAGAAGGGCCTAAATAAAACTTTCATTTCAGACGGGTTGGAAGCCAGGAAGAATCTGAACAGACCTTGAAATGGTCCTCCAGTTTATTAACTTTAATTTGGGTTTTTTGCCTAACAACACTTTCATGAAGTTGTCATTTTTTATCAGTTCTAAGCATAAAAATATAGTTTTACTTAGGTTGGATCTTTATTTCTGAAAGTTCCCATATCACATATATCTTGGTTATATAAACGTATGAAGCTTTTCTCTTCTTACAGAATACTTTGCAATGAGTGACAAAAAGATAATACTCCCCCAATCTCACATATTCTTTTCCTCAAAAGCATGTAATTTATTTTTTCCAGTTCTGGGGATCAGACCCAGGGCCTTGAACAAGCAGATACTCTGCCCCTGTGCTGTAACACCAGTCTCAGATGTTAATGTTATAACAGCTGGTCTCTATTTTTCGAAACATGTATTCTTAAGTATTTGAACCCAATCATATATTTGTTTTTCTTTTTGTCACAGAAGCTTAAGACTTTTTGTTTCTGAAACATAATGTGTTATGAGGCAGACATGGAGGTATTCTATTTAGCCAATTATATCTCTGCCTTTTGTCTGTGGTATAATATTTAACGTAAGGACAACATTTCTTGTGTTTCATCCTGTAACACTTGTCCCTAAATACTTCCTCACCACATGCATTGTTTTCCACTAGCAACTTGATAGCTTCGGGCAGTTTTTTTTTCTGTGTGTTGGTTCCTTATTACTGTGTGTGGAAGGATGGTTTACATCTTTTCCATTTGGTTCTTGTTCATGACTGGTCAGTATTCACCCTTTTAGAGGAAAAATGATAGTCGAAGCTGCTCCTGGAAGAGAAGTGTGTGATGAAGCAGAGAACGTATGAAAGGAATGCCTGATGGCTGACTTCACAGGTCTGCTTCATGGTGGCATTGCCATCGAAGAATTTAGTGTCTTCCTTTTTGGTCCTCAGACTGAGGACAGTAGCTTGCTCCTCCCAAAGTCTTTCATGGGTAGCATTTGACCGGTTAACAGAGGTCACGTGATAAAGGTCATCAGTCAGAGCAGCAGCTTTGTGGACATGATGCGGCCTGAACTGATTTGAGACACAGGTAAATACAGGATTCTTCAGGAGTCATTTTGGCATGTGCGGCAGGGTTTTTGATGGCCTGGCTTTATCAGTATTATTTTTTATTCTTTGGTTTTTTGAGACAAGAGTCTAATAATGTATCCCAGACTATCCCTGAGCTATATCCCCAGCCCAGCTGTCCATATTTTTAATCTTACAGTCTTTGTTCAATTACAAACCTGGGATATTGTTGATGATTGATTTAAATAAAATGTTGAAGCCTTTTAGGCATCTGTTTATTTAATTTTACATACCCTTTTTTCATTGAGTAGCATTTTGTATTGCTTCCTTTAGGCATGACTGTTAGGAGCATTTTGTGTGTCCGAAGATCTTCCCCCATGGAAACCCTGTTCTAGATTGTGCTCTGTATTACTTTTGGCCTTTTGGCTAAGATCAAGTGTAGATTGTGCTGTCTTCCGGAGCATTGGCCCTGTAAGTAAAACCTGTCTTTTCACCAGGGGCTATTCAAGTAGTATTTTAAAAACAATTAAGACTCTCAGCCACTTTCCTTTTGTGTGCAACAACCTGCTTGTAAAATAATTTAACTCTAATAACCACTATGACTTTCTGAAATTCTAAGAGAATTTCCCCTCTTAACATCTTGTTTTGTTTGTCTAAAGCTTTCATTGAGCTGAGAGGAGAGGCCAGTCAGTTGGCAGAACAGAGTAAGTGCGGCTAGTCCTTGCTGAGATTCTGCAGATTGGGATTCTGGCCTTGTTGTTAATTAGCTGAGTGACCCCTGGGCAAGTCAGCCTCTCAGGTCTCTGCTTCTTCATCAGTAAAACAGAAGACTTGGAAAAATAAATCAGATGTAGACACTGTGATAAGAAAGGTTATCCTGAACACCAAGGTTGTGGAATTTGTGAATGGCAGCACATTGGGCTCTGTACTTTCTTGATATGTCCCCACAAAAGCTCTGCTTTGCTCTAGGGGTTGAAAGGTAGTGTAGGGTGTTACATTAAAGTGATCATATTCTCCTGGCTGGTTTGGGAGCTGTCTTCTCCCTAGCAATTTCTCCCTCACACTCCCTCCCCTCATCTCTTTTTTGTCTGTCCAGGAGCAGCCTTTTATTGTCCTCAAGTACATCAGCAAAAGCACGATGGGTAACAGCACTTTAGGATTTGCGAGTGCTTGGGTTTTCCAGCCATCATCTGAATTAGTCAGTGTGGTAGGGAGAGCTAAAGGACACTAGCTTCATGATGAAATTATTCCTTACCTCTCTTACCTTAGAAATGGTTTCTTGTTTCATTTTAGGCTTCAGTCATTGTGGTGTTTTCATAAATTCAGTACCACTCTACTTAAAAAGACAGCTCATTGTTGTTTTTGTTTTTGTTTTTTTAAGAGTCAGCATGAAGCAGCAGATCTACTCTACTCACCTCTCTTCTCCACTCCAAAGTCATCACTTTATATACTAAAAACACACAGGAGTGTGTGTAGTTTAATCGGGTCACCTGATGTGTTCCCTCTGTGTTTATTTTGCAAATGCTTTTTAGGAGTGTTCCATTCTGATAACCTTCTGAAATGTTTTTCTTGTAAGTATATAATTGATAGCACCTGTAAAACATTACCTTTAACTGTGTAGCTTCTTTCTTAACCATTATCATTTTGATTTGATGTTTTACTATTTTCTTCCTTTTGATGAACTAGGGTTGGAGGATTGTATTACCATGCCAAATATTTTACAGCAGTGTGCCAGGGGTTGGCTTCCTGTCCTTAATTAGATGTGGAACGCTGTGCATATACTGTTGTGTTTTTTGTATCTTTTATGTAAGACAGTAAACTTCAGAGCATTTCATTAAAAGTTATAAAACATTCTCTGTGTCTTTAACATTTAATTTCCCACTGTAGTTTATGAATAGGAAATTACTGCAAAACTCAAGGTCCCTTTACATTGTCAAGCATTTGTTTGCATGCAAGTTACCTCTTAGGTCAAAATGCAGTTGTATTCCAAGACTTTCAATCTTTATTCTTTTCTTTCTCCTTTCTTTATTTAGAGACAAAAGAGTGTCAAAATGTTAAAGGCTGTGCTGAAGAAGAGCCGAGAAGGAGGAAAAGGAAGCAAGAAGGAAGCAGGTATGTGTATAAGAATGAGTTGAACAAGCATGGTGGGCATCCCGTGGCAAGGTTTCACTTGCTGCAGGCCAGCATTGCTTTGGGAATGGGTCAGGGAGTATTTGAACAATAACATGTGCAAGGCTGTGAGAAACTCTGTGTGTTTCTATGCTTTTTTATAGAAGAGACTTTGAAAATTGAGTTTGGATTATGAGCCAAATCCTTCCCTAGAAGAGTTTGAAAGTTCATAATTTTAACAGGTTGTTCAGAACTGGAGGCCTTCAAAGTTAAAAACCTTGTGGGGTAACAGGTGTGTTCAGGAATTTGATTTCTAGAAAGCCCCTTCCTTATCCGACATGGAATTGGATTTTATATGTTTGACCAACTGCTGGCTGACTAGTCCTCATCTTTTTTTTGGTGTCAAATTTTACTCCTAACAGGTGTAGCCTCCCTTAATGCCAGAGGGCTAGTTTTCATTATGAGGAGAGCTGCTTAGTTTGGCTTGGGTTTCATTCCTGACTGTAACATTCTTGTGCATATGTGATTATTGGGACCTCTATTAGCATTACATTCTCTGTGATAACCTCCTCTCAGTTACTCTGGTGACCACTTAGTGTTAAACCCTGTTAGGATAGCTACAAAAACAATGTGTTGTCTCCTTGTATTACACAATAAAAATCTAATAGCAGAAATTCACTACCTTAAAATGTTGCATTTCACTCTTTAAACTCATGTAGTGCTGATGGAGAACAGCCCTTTTCCATTACTATGTGTCAGTAACATTTCATTTGAAATATAAGTAACGATACTTATTACTGAAACATCACCAAATTTTAGTGAACTCTTCAATTCAAAAGGATCTGTATTGTGTTCTAAGAATATTGTTAATATTTGTTGTCTCTATACTTTTATAAGACTTTTAAATGTTTTGGTTATATGGATCCTAGACAGAATTAGTGTATTACTATTTATCCCTTGAGCCTACTCTGCAAAATGGCAAATATACCTTAAAAGTAGTGCCTTTATTGTAAGATTTCTGTTAAAATTCCATTATAAGAGCTCATTAATGCTTGGGTAAGAACATACAAAGAATAGAAGAAACCAGATTTTAATGATACAAACAGAGAACTACAGTTAGCTCATAATCTCAGAGAATCAACCCTTAGTTTTGAATAATTAATTATAATTGTTACTATGGAGAAATTTTAGTTCACATCATTTCTGTCTGGGGTACATTCATGTCCTACTGGGTCAAGGCCAAAATGTCTATCTCATTAGTTCTCTGAAAGCTGTTAATTTTTGTTTTAAGTTTTGGCTTAAATGACACCAGTTCTAGAACTTTTTTCTTACTTTAGAAACCTTTGTAATTTCCAGCATAGAGTTTGGTGCTAAGCTGTCTGTTGGGCTGGAGCTGCCATCCAGTAGTTTTTTTCTTTGGGCCAGGGTCTATAAGCTAAAACTCCCTAAACAGTAACAGAGTCTTTCAAAATAGACCTGCCATCCTTTTTGACTATCATCAAGACCATGGGAAATAACAGTATTAATGACTTTTAGCATCTGTCTTTTCAGACGGGCCAGACAGTGAACACAGTTTGTCTTTGAAACTTTTCCAGTTTCAGAGCCTGTGACTTGGGGTTTGTGTCTTCCTTTGGTCTTTCAGAGTAACTACTGTTTTTTTCTGAATCCTGCCTTTATAATAATTCCCACACCATAGCTTTCTTACTAACATAAAATGAAAAAGCAATGGGAACATTTCTCATAGAGCATGTATATGATATGTGCCTGTTTGCTCTTAACTAAAATCTGGTTTTGTTAGGCTGAGAACAAAGCAAATGGAATTTCAAATCGTGATGAAGTTATGTCACAGGATGATTAGGGAAAAAATACTTGGAATTTGACCATTCGGGTGTTGAGTTCTGTGCCAGTTCTCATTATAAAAGTAAATCATAGCGAAGTTTCTCTATAAATTAAAGCTGGCTTATATACTGAGACTGCTCTGAAACTTAGGTAATAATTTCTCCTTCAATATGGAAAAATTTTGCTTTCCTGTTTCCAATTAAAACCAGTCTTTACTGCAAGGATAAAAGAAAATTCTGAAGTGTTTGAGAAATTTAGGAAATATTTAGTTCTAAAAACATTGAATTCAGCTTTTCATATCCTTTGTAAATTTTCACTGACAGTATTTTAGTATGTATACTTTTATGTTGAATTTACTTTGAGAATTTGGAAAAAAAACACAATCATTGATTTGTATTGAGTATTCTTCAAAAGAAGCCAAATAGTTTTCAAAACTATTGATGAGTTGCTACTCTTTTAGCTCCTATGCTTAAAAGAATATGTCCCATGTACCTGCTTTAATTTACTGACAGAATTTTAGCAGGTGTTGAAATTCAAGTATGCATAAGGATATGTATTGAAAACTATTGACTGAACTCTAAACATAGCAAGATTCTTGTTTATGATTATACTTTTTGCCTAGGAAGTGCTTGTAACTGGGCTCAAAACATGTTTTGCAGACTACAGAGGCATGCTGGAGAAAACAGCATTGAAAACCTTAAAAATCTCCTTTTTGGGAAGACTGCCCACTATTCTGTCAGTGTAAATGAGCCCTGTATTTCTCTTGACCGTGAGTTAGGCAGAAGAGAGCAAAGATACACTGTTAAGCTCAATGAGGGGAAGGTCAGAAAAGGCTATCTATTTTTTTTCTTTCCTTGATTTTTACGCTAGGACCTTTTTTATGCTAGGATCTAAAACTAACACGAGACACTATCTTTCTTGGAAGCTATCCACAGAGGTCTACAACATTCTGCCACGTTTCTTTATTATAACTGACCTTTCTTTTGATGTTATGCTTTTTAAATTATTAAACTAAAAATTAAATAATTGCTGCATTCTAAAGTTGAGCATATCTGATATCTTGACCTACAGAGTAGATACAGGAGCATCATAGTAAGCCAGTATCTTTTTTGTATAGTATAATGTTCTGAAACTGAACAGGAAAAAGTCCCATCCTAGAATAGCAACAAAAACTTTAAATAAACACCTCAAGAAGAAATATATAAGCTTTGTATTAAAACAAATGACAAAACTTTATCAAAGGACTTAAAGGGATAACCTGAATAAATTAGAAATACAATATTTGAGTTGATAGATTCATTATTTTAGTATATATTTTTTATAGGTGCTTTAAACAATTTATTTAACTGAAACAGACTTTGATTTATTTAACTGAAGTGACTTGCATTTATTTTGATACATCTTTTTCCTCTGGAGATTTACAGGATCTTCAGGCCAATAAAAATATTTCATAAACAATTGGCCATTTGGGTATACCCCTACACAATACCTCAGCAATATCTTTCAGCCACAAACACTGAAGAATTCAGACCTGACACAATTAACTAGATAGAGTGAAAATCTACTCCAAATATTTGCTTCTGATGTAAGGGAACCACATACCTGTTCAGTTAAGAAAACTATTCTTACAACACGGGTTGATTTTTTACTTTTAAGAACACTTAACTGCCAGTTAGATAATATCCCCAGTTTATGCTATGAATTCATAGGGAACAGGTTCCAGCAACTCACACTCCTTCCCATTGATTCTCACAAAGTGTACTTCTCTGTGCAGGGCTGGCTGGTGCTTCAATGAAACCCAGGAACCTTTCCCTTTGACTTCCCTTTTCTGATCATACTCCTTGACATATTTCAGGAAACTATCACAACTCTTTAGTGTTTAATATGTTCAGTATACACATTAATCCTCTTGGCAAATATCTCGCCCTCTGCTTGCTTGTTTACAACAGTGCCAACCGCATGCTGGGCAACATTGTAGACTCTTCCAGTTTTGCCATGGTAACATTTGTGTGACACTCCTTTTGTATGGTACCCATTCCCTTGATATCTGCAGTGTCACCCTTTTTGTAGATTCACATGTATGTGGCCAAAGGAACAATCTCATTTTTCTAAAAGGCTTAGAAACATGTTCTGGGTTCCCCTTATCTGTCCCTTTGTGTTCATCATTTTGGCCAATTACTGGAAGATGGTGATTTCAGCCAAAAGGTTATTGTTATTTATTTATTTATTTATTTATTTTGGTCTTTTTCATTTTTATCGGTACTGGGGATCGAACTCACGACCACCTGCTTGCAAGCAGGTGCTTATGCCGCTGAGCTAAATCCCCAGCCCCAAAAGGTTATTATTTTAAACTGACTAGTTCTTCCAAAATTTTCTGTGTATTTAATTTAAACTTTAATGCAATCCTAATGTGTTATTTTTGTTGGTTTTTAAAAGAGTAGTTTTAAGTTTATAGCAAAATTGATTAGAAGATACAGAGATTTGCTTCTACACATTCTTTGCCTTTAGGTTTATCAACAACCCCGACTGGGAATGTGGCACTTATGACAACTGATGCACCTAAATCAACATACCATAATATTAGGGTTTGCTCTTATCTTTGTACTTTATATGAGTTTGGCCAAATATATGGTGATCTGTATACTCACTTGTGGTATCACACAGTGTGCAAAATCTGAAAATGGGGGGCAGGTGTATGGAGGTGGCCGAGCCTTGTTCACATGGCTGGACTCTAGCTGGAAGAGAGACAGGGAGCATGTACATGCAAATTTCTTTGCATCTGTAGGGCAAGGTGGGCTTTCTCTCTGCTAGCATGTGTGTCACAGTTCCTCTGCCTCAGCTACAGACACCAGATAGGTTCTCTCCACTTCAAAATGAACAAAGCACAGAAACCTAGTACAGGTCATGGTGACAGCTACTACTTCCTTCTTTAAAAAAAAAAGCTACTACCGCATAGTAAATGGCTTAACTTAGTTTTAAATTTTTTCCTCTTGCCTTCAAGAAACAAAATATGATTTTATCTAAAGTCTATGTATAATCTGAACGAACAGTAGATAGTGTTTCTGTTTTTTCTTTAAACCCTGGAAATTTTGGCGTCACTTTAGAAGTTTTAGACAGGTAACACATCTTGCCATCTATAGATAGGCTGGTTCCTCTCTCTCTCT